TATTAGTAAAATATGTGGAAGATACATGAATCTACAGATGATGAAGTGGCGAATGATAGACAAGTAAAATTTTAATTTAGTGATCTTAAGATTTTAAAGCTTGATATAAATTTATTTTTTTATCTCTCAAAAGCAAACAGATGAAATGAACGAAATTGAAGATACTACAGCAATTCAGATACAATCAGATACAAGCGGGGTAAGATTTTATAATTAAAATTCAATGAATCTACCAAAAACAAAAATTGAATTACAAAGACTAATTTCAAAAAGGCATCACTTCATCACAATCCCGAAGCAAGCGATGATATTATGAATAATCCTGAAGAGTCAATTAATAATTATAAAGATGGTGAAAAACATGTAAGGAATTTTAATATATTCTTTAATTCTAATTCACTATCTAAAACACTTATTTATTTACTAAAAGCTTGATCAGGTAAGAATTTATATGTTGTTAACTTGACTTATATCTAATATTAATAGGATTCAAAATCTAGCAAAATGAATAAAAAAAATATACTGGCTACTATTTACTAAATATTTTTTTGGTTAAAGATGGGCATTATGAGATGTGGTAAAAAGTGAAAAAGTCCTTCGAATTGTTCAGAAAAATATAAGAAAAAAGCACGTTTAAATTTACCAAGGAGTCTGAAGAGGAAAGAACGAATGCGATATTCTTCGTCTAAAACTGAATCTGATGGTAAGATTGATATATTTCAAACCTACACATCTAGGTAAAATTATAAATTGATAACTTATATCGTAATTATAGTACGAATCAACATCATTATGCACAAAGGTTTTAAGCAAAGAGTCGCAAATTAGTGATAAGTTAGGCAAAAAAAAGAAAAAAAAGAATTTTAATGCTCTTTAAATTTTTCATAGCTTACTAACTAATAATTTCTAAAGAACAACAAGTAGAATAGGCGACGAACAGCAAGTATCCCAAATCAAAAGTATCAAGTAATTTATATTTTATAACATCAGAATAAATGTATTTGTAATAACTGTTATATATAAGAACTACGTGTTAGCCAATATAGGGTTTGGGTTGTACAAATTTTATTGGCTACACTAAACAAATAAGTGTATAATGTGTTACAATTAGATGAGTCCTTTTTTAATACTATTAACTTACAATTTTCAATTACGCAATCAGATTATGTAGATTTATTGAAGAATAATAGAGAATTTTGCATCTCATTATCTAGAAAAAATATTTGAAATGTTTTCTCAGTCTATCAACAAATATCAGATTTCTCAGAAGCATCATTGGAGCTTGAACAATTCCCAAAGACAATCAAGGCTGCTCCAAATTTTTAGCAATTTGGAATTCATATTTCAATAATTGCAAAAGATTTATAGGAATTTAGGATTATAAAATATTGAAATTAGTTTATTTATTAACTGATGTATTTTTTGTTATGCTAAAAATTTGCTATCAAGAACAAGCAATTAATCTTGTATTTGAATATTACTGTTATTGATATGATGTATTTGCGTTTAAATATATCATTTGAATTTGCCAAATCTTGACTTGACAAATCTGGTTCAATAAATTATTTACAAAATAAAATAATAGAAACTGCTGAGTTTATAGCACTTTAGTTGTTTAGTCAGACTCTTACGCTAGAATAACTTTTCATTGGATTACAAGTGATTTCAATTTGTGATCAATTTTTCAGGAACCAGCTTCTATTAACTAAATTTGGATTAGCTCAAGAACATCGTTATGTATCATTTCTAAGGTAACATCCACAATTTATGTTAAACCAATAGTATATTGTATGAGAATAGGGTATTAAAGGTAATGCTATATAGTATTATATTTGTATTGTCTAAGATTAAGTTGTAGATGCCACCTTATGACAATGACTGTTATCTAACCATACGTACAGCCATAAATGTGAGTGGTAAGTATGAGCAATTACCATTCATATATAAAGCATATAAATTTAGCTGTTATATATATTGTATGTACAGCGTATAAATGTGAGCTGTTAATCATAATATATTAACCATATGAACAGCACATAAATGTG